TGTTAACATTAAATCACCAGTTATACTCTCTCACCGACGCAGCACCACAGGCTCTTTAGAAACTTACCTCCTTTATTTATTCACCGACCCGTTCACCTCGTAATCCATTGATTTATTCGTTTGTTTATTCACTTGTTTGTTGGCTCTTTCCGACATTCTTTAGTTTTTCTTTTCCTCCATGTCTTGATCTCATTACATAAGTATTCATTAGATTTATTTCTGAAGCAGCAGAGGCACATGATAAATTATTTTCCAAGTCAAAAGGCTCCTAAACAATCGATTGGAAAGTTGGACTATCCAACATTGAGGTGAATCATACAATACCTTTACAGTTCTTGTAGTGGGAGACTACAATATAATTTCCATAGGTTGGTATTAATTTTAATTCAAATCTGCCTTCAATTTTTAAGGTTAAGGAAAATATTCATGACGAGAGCGACATTTTTAAGGTTATATCCATCGAGGGAGGGATCTTCTCGATGATAAAACTCTATGGTAGCAAACTCTACTTGGCATGCGACCAAGATGGCAATGTAACTTTAGTTGAAGATAAGTATCCGGAGAATCCCAGCCCTCAAATTCTTTTCAGCTTTGGCAAAGTAGGTGTAGTCAGTGACAACTGAAGTTTTATGGCTGTTTTCTCTGTCGAGTCAGCTTTTATGGACGAAGCTATGGACGGTTTTCTTAATTCCAGCATTGTAAGGCTTAGAGATATATATTGTGTAACAGGTAGATATCTGACATAAGGAACCTTAAGCAGTCAGGACGGCAACGCCAAGGAAGACTTCGATTAAAATATAAATTTCTACCCGTAATTAGAATTTCAAAAATGGCTGCGTGTGTTTACCGTCTCATACCGCGCCACACCTCAACTTCAGCATTACTTATCAAATATTAAAGAAGCGTTGAGTTCCAAATAGAAATTAAAATAATTTGCCGTCGCGGTTTCGGTTCGCAGACGACGCAAATTGTGGTGATTTCACGTTGTTGTTTTGTATAGGACGGCTCAGAAATGTACAAACGCACGTGCTGGGCTGCATCTTTTGTTTTCCATGTCCTCGTTGCCGTCGCCGTCGTGGTTTGCAGAAGGTGAACCGCCACTGCATGTTTTTTGGCTTTGATTGGTTTTATTTTTCATTATTGTCTTTATGGTATACTCATACTCATTATAGAATTGATATTATTATGTATTCAACTCACTATCTCTTTTCTAATTGGCCGAAAGTGTTCAATGAATTTTCGAAATCAGCGCCTAGGACGTCATCTACCTGCAGATTTTACAATAACATGTCAAGGTCACTCAAGGTCATGGGTAATCTGTCATGTAAGACCGCGGTGCGTGATTTCGAAGGGCAGTCCTTCGCGCACTTTGAGTTGCTAGCCGTCAGTGGAAAAGCAAAAACATGACTTTCAGGTTTGCTTTTTTGACCGAGCATGACTTCGAAAAAATAGTAGTATTTCGCTTTTTATAACTGTAGAGTTCTCTTCAGTTAAACTTAATTATGGCTATTTACTTTCTAAACCAGCTTTTATTCAATTTTTCACATATTGTCTAATGCTTAGAATTTCTTGTCAGTCGAATTATATGCCGCTGATTTGTACGTTTTTACACGTTTAGAAATAAACTATCAATTCCACTTATTGCCTTGACCATTGTTTTTTTTTTCGTTCAAAGTACAGTAAAACAATTATTAAATGAGGTTTTTGTGATATCCAGAATGAACAAGGACTCGCCAGGGATATCAGTCATAACCCCTACCTCGACCTTCATTATTCTGGATATCACAAAAACCTCGCCCAATAATTGTCTAAACTCCGACCAAATAGTGACTCATAAAAACACACAAGTTTTTCACATGGTAAATAAACTGCTCAAGGTGTGTGTTTTGTTAGTGAATGATAGCCGAATTCACAGGGTCATGAAGATTACTTGGGATGACAGCGCCGTTGAACTCGGCTGCTGTGAATGACGTGGCCTTCTACTCAAAAAATCGGAAAGGATATCAGAGCAAGCTCTTAGTTGTTCACTAAGGGGAGGGGGCATGTAATTGCTGAAGCTTGACAGCTTTAGCTCAGTTCCACGTTTTGTACTCTGATAGAGCACACTTTTGTACTTTGATAGAGCGCGCTCTTTCAACCAATGGCAGCGCGCGCTAGATCCGAACTTTATTGTAAGAAAGTGTAAGTTCGACTTTTAAAAAGTCGACCTAATTCACAAGTGCAACGGCCACATTGAGAGAGAAACGAAACCGTTAAGGACGAAGGGCTAACGCTCGAAAAGTCAGCTTTAAAACTTTTTACGGTAGCCAATCAACGTTATCAACTCAGGTTGATAATACTTCATTACCTTGTTATACTCTCCTACCCACGCAGCACCACAGTTTCTTCAGAAACTTACCCCCTTTAATCATTAAGGAGAGGGATCGTTATAGGGAGATAGCAGTGTAATGCAACACATGATTGCAAGGGTTAGGGTGAGATCAACAGTAAATAACAATTTTAAGAATATGCCATTGCGCACATTTTCTTCTTTTCAAAGTGTGGCACTACTATCCTTTTCGGACAAATAAAACTGAGGTAAATTACAATTTTTCGCTGAATAAATTTAATGTTGGAAAAGGTTCTCTGCAATCTATTAGGATCAACCACTTAGAATTGTCCCTTCCATCTAGTCTTCTAACACGAAGAAGGAAAGACGGAATGGAACTTCCATTACCAATGACATATTTGCCTTTGGACTGAATCCTCCCGGTTAATCAAAAGCAGAAAAGACTCTTAGTTAGCAACAGTGAATGAAGATCGTCAACTTAAAGCGATCATTAAGAACTATTTCTCGGCGATGTACAGATTGCAGGCAGAGGAGTCGGGTAACTTTACGCTTAGCCGCATCTGAAGGGGTAGGGGGGGCAGACGTAACGAAGGGTCAATTTCATCATATCTGATGGTTTTGGTCTGTAATTTTTTCTTTTCAACCCAGACTTAAGTTTAAGATTCTTCCAGGTTGTGCAGTTCTCTCCTGGCCGAATGAATTGCCTTCAACATGTTCAATGATATATCCTTCCACATCAGAGATGATCGCGACCCGAGCTCTGATGAATTTGGAATTTTTTGGGTTAAAAATCGAAATAAATCTAACTGATATATCCATTATTTACAGAGATCCAAGCTTTCAATATCGCTCAAGGGTCATAAAGATATGAATAAAAATTCACAAGCAGGAAGTGACCGTTCAGTCAACTTCCTCTATTTATTATTAACCCTTTAACGCCCAAGATCAGATTGGTAATTCTCCCCTCTATCTGTTACACGTATCCTTGTGAGTTAGTTATGAGAATTTAACAAATAGATTCCAAGTTGCCGTGCGTCTGTTCAGTAATAGATCACAGATGACGTCAAAATGTGGTAAGAACAAAAAAGTGGCACACGAGGCGCAGCCGAGTGTGTCACTGCTGTTCTCACCACATTTTGACGTCCTCTGTGATCTATTACTGAACAGATGCACGGCAACTTGGAATCTATTTGTTTTATATAATAAAAGAATTTTAAAAAGTTTTGATGATGACGTCATCTATACGTCTGTCCTCCAATAGATCATAAGTGAGAACCAATCAAAACGCGTGCATAACTGAGCTTATTATTTAAATGGTGTTAGATCAAGATAACAACTTCAACCTGATAAGTTTGAATATTCTCATAAGCTGTTTGGTGGATAATGTAAGGATATATAATAGGGAGAAGTTTCATGTTGATCACTTCTGGGAGTCAAGATTTACAATAGCCGATCATCCAAGACCACAGCACAAGTACATTTTGGTTTAAGATTATTAAAACAGTCGATGACCACAAAATAGGGATCACCATATTCGGAAAATTAATACTTGGAAGTCCTTTTACTTGGAAGTTACGTTGAAGACCGAAACGTCTCCAAGAATTCGTTATTCACCTATTAAAAAAAAATTTAAGTTATAATACCTTATTCAGCATTATTAACTATGTATAAGGTCGGTTGCGCTCCATAATCGAGGCATGAAGACTTAGCCTACTATTCTGTGCTGATCAATATTCGATAAAAAGGAAATTTTATTAAGAAACTGCGTTAAAATATCTGCAAGCAAAGATGACACCACAATAAGGAACCTTTTGCGGTTGCAAGTTGTTTGTTGACTTCTAACAGTTTTTGAAAATGTCACGCTGGTGTTTTTACTACCGAAGTAGTAACTAACAATTTTTTTTCCAAGGGCAATTTTGTAGGATGGCCACATCGAAAGAGTATTTCGAGAAATCTCAGGAATGCGCCATTTGCCTGTAAAAAGTGCCTAGAGAGACTGGTGACTAGAGTTGACCGAGGTGTCTACGAGATCACGTGCCCGAAATGCAAGCGAAAGAGCGCGGTATGCAGAAACTTCTTTATGTTATCATTGGCTTTTGGAAGGCGAAGACTAAAAGTTATTAGAAGCTGCTAATGATAAATACCAAGAGTCTCAATGATTTTGAATGTCGATGTCATTTCTGCAATAATGTGCTCAAGCTGAATCAAAAATCTGAAAGAAAAAATAGTGTAAAGCCTACTAGAATAACTGGACTGATTTTTTTGTATATTTTAACCTCTTTGTTTTAGATGTAGCTTGTGTTAGCAAAAACTATTTAAGAAATAGGAAGTTTTTTGTACGTTTCTGGATACTTTTAATACTCTTAATACTTTTGGTAATTGTATTAGTTTTATTCCGTATTTGTCATTAGATTTGCGACTTCTTTTTAAGATAATGATCACACATCTAGTTGCATGTCAAGTCTAATCTCGTAACCAGATTTTTCTTACAACCTCTTGGCCGTAGAGGTCTTGGTACGAGACTATGTCGAGGCAAGACAACAGATGTAACGGCAACTAGCAAGACCGGTCACGCTGTAATAGTACTTACCGTGAATTTCAGGAGCTAACAAAGCATTTAAAACACTCTTCTTCCAACTTATAGATGCTATTGTGGTAACTTTTAGGTTACCACTTTGGATACAACAGTTACAGCGTGGTTGAAATTATCGAGTATGGGGTATTTTCCTCGGCTTCTTGAATGTCGCAGACAGAGATTTCTTGCGTGCGGGGTCATCTTTGGATTGTTTTGCGTCGCCTGGATCTATATTAATGTGCAAGGGCAGACTACAATCGAAAACGTTTCTGGTGATGTAAAACCTTCGTTTCTCGGTCATCATGGAGTATCCGAGAATGAGCGAAGAATATGGCGGAAAAAATTCTTCGCCGGTGTAAAGAAAATTCTGGGTCAATTCAAGGAAAATCGAAGCTATCCGAGGGAGGGCCACGAAAATGACACAAAGCTATCAGAACTCAAACGTATTCGTAGTCATCCAAGGAAGAGTTTTGAAGTTGCAGCACACAATGGTTTGTTTCACTTTTTTGAACCTGGGTCATGTGACGCTATTTCCCCAGAAATGGTGCTGTATAACAGGATATTTAAAAGACAGGCAGTGAGACGGTGAGAACACTATTTCAGTTTGTGGCAACAGTGATGGATTATGACTATGCCAAGAGTAAGTTGTCCTTTCGATTATGTGCGCTAATTGTACGTGTAGCTTAAAGGGGGATTTCCCAAGAGAGTTGGGTTGTGTTACATTTAACCTCTCTTGATGTCACATAGTGGGAACAGAGACAAAGAGAGTTTCATTTCGTAACCTGGCGATCGGCCAATTTTCCGATACCGTACTCGTTTTAGGCAGTAATCACGAGATTCGATTGCTGTTCGGAAAAAATAATTTCGAGTGATTTTTTTCAGTACGCGTGCTGTTTGAAAAGTTTACGAATGGCTACTTATTCCAAATCACGAGAAAGATTATGCGGATACTTATTACTGAAGTAGACGAATCACGTGCAAAAATGATTTATTTAACCTTATTTTATTTGTCGTAGACAACTACTTTAAATCAAAACAGCAATTTTTTTTTGTTAGGTCCAAAGCCCAATTTTCACACTTTATGGACTGATTATCACACCTCTACTCTCTAAGACCCTGTAACCTGAATTTTGTGTTCTCTAAGCTAATAAGAATGGAGAAGACTGTTTCTCTTGTATATAATCAACTGAAAAACCTCTCTGTGGATCGTGATAGGTGTGAACTCCGTATACGGAGAGCATGATTTTTTTATTCGAGACTCGTGGAATGGAAAAATATCATTCATGACCTCACCGCGCGACAGCCCTGTTACTTCCGGCTCCACGATGGAGCTTGACGTTTCTTTTAGACAGAGGTCATGTTGTGACTGGTTTTCTTCACAGCCGTTAGGCTGTCTCGTCACACAACGCACTCTATCCTTCCCCCTCTTCCTTTTTTGATTGGGTGAAAAATCGTAGATGCTAGGGTGAGTTTAAACGAGAAAAAATGTCGCGTTTTTCGATGAATGGTGAGTTGTTTCATCTGATTAGAACTAAATTAAGGAAAATTATTAAGCCCTCCCACTCAGTCAATAAGTAGTCTGTGTCTGGAAGGAGGCGATGTTGTGGCGAGTAATTTAGTGTTAACAACTGAGTTGAAAACGTAAATTGGCCACCATAGAGAGTTGAAAGGCTGACGTTTCGAGCGTTATTGGATTAACGAATTATCCCCAAATTGATATTCTTCTTTATTCTCATCACTTTTCTGGTTGATATTGTATTAATATTGTAAGGAGAAATTCTGTCTTGGTCATTCATGAAAGTTGGAGGGTTAATTGTGTGCGCCCTCGCTGAAAGAGTGCTACCACATTGGCAACTTAAAGTGCCAGAACTTTGAGAACAACGAAATTATTTTGAGGGAATCCTCGTAAATGTTTCTTTTTGCTTTTGCTTTTCCTAAGGAACGACTGAAGATTTTTATGATGAGGGCATCTCTGATCCTTACCCAATGATCATTGAGCGAGCAGCCCGTGCCATTGGTAATAACATCTTTTACAACGCACACTTTTATTTCCGCGATAACTTGAAAATTCAACGGACTCATACGTACATCAATCAGGTTAGAGAGCCAGTTTCCAGATATATATCTCATTACTCTTACATGCACAATACAAGGCATCGACCTGCGTGGCGAATAAACAAGATGATTCGAAATGGAGAGTTGAACGAGACAATCCAGCAGTGCTTCGAGAGAGAAAGTCAAGGATGTAAGAAAAATTTGATGACGCGTTTCTTTTGCGGTCCTGAGAAATTTTGTAAAAACGATGGAAGGAGAGCTCTTAAAAGAGCCAAAGAAAATATTCTTAAGCACTATGTAGTTGTGGGATTGTTGGAGCACTTTCACCTCACTTTAAAGGTTCTACAAAGGCGTCTACCTTACTTTTTACCTGTTTTCCCGAGGAATTCTGATGTTAAAATGAACCAAGCTGTTAAGAGAAGTTCCAACTTTGTGAGTGAGGAAATGATGTTAAGGATTAAACAAGCAAATTGGGCAGATGTTGAACTTTACGACTTTGTCAAGCAATTGTTTTGGAGACAAGTAACAGCGTGTGGGGTATCATGAGAGAAGTATTTGATGAGATAAAAACCTACGTCGAATTCTAATAAGCATTATTAATCGCCTGATGTGGGGGTTGCAAGAATTTTATGGAAGGGAGGGGTCAGATGGTTTCCAGAGGAACTGGGGAGAGTTCAGTCGTCGCTTACAAAGTATAATTAAAAATGGGGACTAGTATAGAAATTAACTGAGTCTAAAGAGGGATCATTAGAATACTACAGAGCCTTATGGGGAGCGGAGTGGGTCAGGTAAATTTTATCATGACACAAGCAAAATCCTCCGAACACCCTCCCCCCCTAAAGGGAAAAAAAGTAATGGCTAATTCCTCATTTCTAGGAAGTTTCTATTCTTCGGTATCGGTAATGGTAATGACAAGTTCCATTGACTGACTATTACTGATAGGAAACGAGCTCATGGGGACTCAGAGCTTTTCATTTGTCCCACGCTCGTGGCAAGACGAAAAATATCATTTCTTTATCGAGCTCAAAACTTATCATCTCTCCTTTTCTATTTACAAACATGACGCTATCGACATTGCTGGTCCTAGCAGTATGCAGAGCACGTGTCATATGAACTTCGTAATAGATCTCACTCACCGTGGAGTCTCTGTGGCTCAGTGGTAGAGCATCGGAGCGTGGAATCCGAAGGTATGAGGTTCGATTCCTTATGGGGACTCAGAATATTTTCTATGTCCCGCGCTCGTGATCTGAAAATTATCTCTCTTTAAGAAACGATATGTATCTATAATTGAAAAGAATATCTTTAAAACGAAACGAGAATAAAATGAAATAAGGGATACACTTGGAACTTCTTTCTAACCCTTCCTAAATTCCTTCCCAGACCTTATCTTCGTTCCCTTGGCAAAGTTTAAAAGAAGCCCTTGGGACGCTCAATGCCTTTCTTTATATGTTCTGAGAAAAGCGTGCAGAAAAATAAGCTACTATTCTTGTTATTCGATATTGCGTGACATCATGTTGCGTTGCGTTACATTACAAACTGTCTCAGTTCTTTGAGGAAATCACCATATAAGAGCATTAGCATTCAGCGTTGTCTTTTGGTACGCTTCTCCCTACGAAGAAGCATAGAATAAATCAGTTCAATGATATGTTGCTGATATTGCTTAGTTCTTTATCAGTGCTACTGTACTATATGTAGCCACATCAGAAGTGTATCTTTTTCAAGATTGCACAAACTCTCTTTATTCCTCATATGAATGACTGTTATTTGGGACACGTTTATTCAGTGGTAGACCACCAACTAAGTTCTTTTTTCATGAAACAGCAGTTTTTTTCCTGCTTTCATATTCGTTAGGTTTCCGTAGATCAGTCCCGAACCCGCGCCGGCGGACGTAAAGTTTCGAGGAGTCCCGAAAGTTTCCTTGCTGGTGAGCCGTCATTAATCAGCGGTTGCAGTTTGACAGCTTGGTCGCAGAAGTGCCAAGCAGTTTGCGGCTGGTAAGGCGTTAGGTCTTGAGAAGGATGAAAATGAAGTCGTTCATTTTGATGGGCCTCCTTAGCCTCCTGATAACCACACATGCTGCTGTCGGTGACGAAGAGGTTGCAGAGGAACCAATGCTAGAGCCAAAACTGTCACAAGAGTCGGAACGCGAGTCAAACGCCAACGACGCGCCATCGGAAGAGGTCAACTCGGAACCTCCAACGGATTCAGCAGAAAACTCTTCCGAAGATGACAAAAAATATGCTCTGGGGTCATTATGTAACTATTGTACCTATTGCAAGGTAAGTGTCGTTGTTAAACTAGATATTAGGAATGCCTGACGTGATCAGATACAAATTTTTTTACGAGGAATTTCTGTACAGTGCGAACCGTTGCGGACTTTGATCTCGAGATCACAGTGAAGTATACATCAATCAAATTCCGCATATTATTCCTTTGCTAACGATCTTTAAGTAGGATTGAGCATGAGAAATTCATTTCTTTCTAAAAGTTCCCAGTCTTCGTCTGTGTGGACGTCGGTTTTTTTCGTAAAAGAATCACCCCCGCTCTGACGTGATCAGATGATGACAAACTGATGACTCCGTTAAAAAGTGAAAATGATCGCAACGTCAGACAACGTTAAAACAAACAGTGAGATTTAGCTTAGCTTGTGAGCTTTGCCACCCTTTGTCTCTTCAGGTCACTTGAAAAGTTGTTCTTCCGTGTATCCAAAATGAATTATTCATGTGTAAACAAATATTTGACAACTTGCAATTAAAAGCATTGAACATACTACCTGTCGTAATCCTAAGTTTTACCGGATAACGACAGGTGCTCACGTAGGTACTCATACACATCACAGGCCTGGTACTCATGTGCTAGCTGGTGAAGTGTGCTTTCCATGAATCATCCTTCTTTAATGGACAAGTTAACCCTTTTATTCCTAGGAGTGATTTACTTGCAACTTCTACCCATAACATCCATACATTATCCATGAAGCAGGTCTGATAATATTTAGATAAAAGATTTATCATGATCTAACAATTAATTCTTGTTACCAAGTTACAAGGAAATGTGCAGCAGCGAAGCAAGAGAATTAACAATTGTGGGATCATGGGAGTTAAAGGGGTTTTTAAAATTTGCTAGTACCCTTCATGTAGTAACTCTGATAACTCACTTTTTTCTGGTAGTTTTGTGAATTATGTGACAAGGATTGTCCCTGTGAGAAAAGTAAGAAAAAGCCAAACTGTCACTTGTGCAAGGTGGGTGAAAGGTTTTTAATCTGTAGACCACCCCTGCTAAAAATAATTTGAGGGCAAAATTTATAATTATCACCTTTCAGAATCACTACCTCTGTCAATAGCTTATTATGAGAAGTTCAGTGCCAATTTTTTTATTGTAATTATCATATTTCTATCATGAATTTAGGGTAATTTTTCCCCTTTTGTAATTAGTCTTTGACACTGATTTTTTTTTAACTGGGTAAATAATTAAGGCAGCTTATATTAAGGAATCTTGCATTCTGTTTTAAGCTGTCCTTAAATTGATTGAATTGACTAGTTCAATGTCATTAATTGGAAGTTATATTTAAGTTAAAGTACTGGTATGTGTTACTAGAAAATGCGGTACAGTCCTCAAGAATAAGCAACTTACTGGAATTTCATTAAGGAATAGTTTTTTTCTTTTTTCCATATGTTTTGTGTAGTGATCAGCTTTGTATTATTTTTTAATGTTTTGTTTGTCTTTCTGTTTGTGTCTACAGTATTGCAAATATTGTAGCCTTTGCAGTGTTTGTGACACAGTTTGCACTCCAGGTTAGTTCTGAGAATCAATAAGATATGAAATCCTATCAATAGAGCATAAGTGTTTTTTTTTTACAATTAGTATTATTATTTGAAAATCCTTTACCCTTGCTTGATAATAGGCTTCAAATACTTACAACAATTTTATCAAAATGAATAAGTTCTTGTGCAATTTGAAACCCTTCAACTTACAATGTTTTTGCTTTTAAGAGAGTAATATTTAAAATGTTGATGGAAATTTTTAACATGAAACCAAGAGGATGTTAGTTGCCAGCAAAATTCTGAGTATATGTATAAAAAAATAGAAAGACACAATTTAGCAGAATGATTCAGGCTCTGCAAATTCTGAGAAATTATGTTGCAAAGTATTGAGGGGTCAGTTTTTCAAAACAACAAGGAGCTGTTTGTTACATTTAAATGCTTGTGGCAAAAATTATTTGAATATCTTGCACAAGAAAGCAATTCACTTTTGTTTGTTTTAACCACAGGGGGAGTTATTGACGTTGTGAGTTCAGCTATTTACAGGTAAGTTCCATATTGGCTTCTTAACAAGAAAACAAATATTTAAATGTGAGGCCTGAAAATATTTAAAAAGCTAGTTGTAGTTAAGTGGCATCATATTTGTAGGTCCTTCATAGAGTAAAAACCCACATGGTAAAAGAAAAAAACATCCACTCAAGGCACAGCCTACGTCTAGTGTGTCACTGATGTTCCTGCCACATTTCGAAGTCTTAGGTGATCTATTAAAGAAATAAAAACGTGCCAAAGGGGAGTGCTTCTCACACTTCTCAAGCGTTCTTAAGAATTCCCAAGTGCTTATATAACTCAATAATGCTTGAGGAACAAGTTTTGTTATTTCTATTATAAAATGTATGGTAAATTGTGTGCACGTGTACTAATGACGTAGGCTGCATGCATTATATCTCTATAGTGCATTCATGTGACGTAAGGCGTGTGCTTTATGGAAATATAATGAACTCATTCTGACTACTCGCAGCATGCACATTTCTCTGAACATTTTATAATACTGAATGTAAACACGGCAACAAATCATCTGTTTTTCCTATGTAATATACAAAGAAAATGTTGTTAATTTTGAAATCATTTATACATTTTTCCTCCATTCTGATATTAATAACAAGCTGAATTCCACACAGGTTTTGATCGAGTCTTATGATCTATTCAAGGACAAACGCTTACATTAATTTTCTAGGTTTGTGACAAATTCTAAAAAAAGCTGACTTGTTACGCATTTTGATCATATCTCAGTACTGATCTTAAGAACAAATAGATTCCATATTGCCATGTGTCTGTTAAGGAACAGAGCACAGATGATGTCAAAATGTGATGAGAACAAAAAAGTGGCTTACAAAGGACACTTGAAAGTGTCAGTGATGCTCTTACTACAGCTGAAATAGACCCACAGCAATATGAAATCTACTTTTTTCAAGATAATAAAGCAAAAAAAAAAAAAGTTAATGGTGAGGTCATCTATAGGTATACCAAAACAGTGTCTTTCTCTACTCACGGTTAAGTCACCAAAAGACATAATTCTGTTAACACATATGTATTTTTTCTTGTAGCTCTCTTCCATCTTTTGACAAAGAAACAAAAGAAAAAGTCGACGATGACATCAAATCAGCCAGGAAATGGATCAAGGAATACCTCTGATGATTTCTTTAAAGATACACAGGATTGCAAAAATGTTGACACTTCAAAAAGTGTCTGCAGTGAATGATGAGACCTTGCAGCTCTCTGCCTACATATATATATATATATATATATATATGATAACACCATTAGCAGGTAGTGAATGATGGAAACAATCCACACTTTCCTCAATGAAAAGGACTATCACATAAAAGGTTTTTCATGAATAGTGAAAAAAATTTCTCACAAATTAGTTGGGTCTCATTACATGGATCATGCTTTTTAGGTGTGAACATTTTTGCAATTAAGTGTATACTGATCCAATGTACACAGTTTTTAGAAATTTTTCTTATTATACAAAGGTTGCTGACCTTTTCAAAGGTCCTTTTAATGCTGACATGTTTGCTTTATTAAATAATATTGAAAAAAGTTGCCTTTGAATTGATTTTGTGGAAAAGTTTATCTTGTTTATGAAAAGCAAAAATAGCATATTTGAGAGTAAAGCGACTTAAAGCTTACTATTAAAAATACTGATTTTATGACAAATTTGAGTTGGATTTTTATTTATAATTATTATTATTATTATTATTATTAAAAATAATGAATAAATGTTGATGAATTTAACTTATGATCGTTAGAGATTATTGTTAAATCACTGATGGTTACAGAAACAAAATCTCCCCTCCTCAGAAAAATTGTAGTAGAAAAAATTTGCATCTCTGCTCTTAATCAAAAAGCACATACCTCTCCAATCACATTTTATTAGTTCCAGTTGACTTTGGTCATTATGAAAGATGAGCATACATTGTTGAAAAAATGCAGTTTCTTTATTTTGAACATCTGTTTGATGTTATGAATCTTTTAGACACAATAAGAAAAAGTACTAAACCTTTCTAATTTTGCCCACAAAACTGAAGACATTTTACACTTATAGGCCAAACACTTCAAAAGTAAGTCTTCCACTGTTTGCTAGAGTCTCTTCTCAATGGGCAAAATGTGCTGTCTACTTTGAATATTTTGAACAATTTGAGATGGTGTTTAACTAATGTCACCACACAAGGTTAGTTTAAGTTAGCTGGAAACGGTGTTCCAAAACTACCACCAACCATATTCAATGTGCTTAAAAACCAAACACTCAAAAGCCATAACAATTGTGACTGTAATGCTAAGGTTATAGAGAAATCCAGTAAAACAGTCTTTTGGAACAGTCTAACAGTACAATAATTGGAATTGCCATGCCATACCCACTATTTCAAACTTCAATTTATGGTCAACACATCTGTGAAATTAGTTCTACTGCAAAGAGGGAAAGTTGGTTTCTGACTGCTTTGAACACAGTTGATAAGTGTTTCAGAAAATTGTTCCAGCCTGTAAAGCAGCTTCTCTGATTGAGTCATACATAAGATGATGTAAGAGGAACTCTCTGTGTTTCACTATGGCTTTGTTTTCCTGATGTCAAAATCACTAAATTCCAGCACACTAATGTTTTTTTCATTCTTGAATTCACATCGATCAATTCTTGATAGTGGGCTTCCTGTGACTCTCAACCACTTTCTCCTAGGATGAAAAATAGACAATTTAGAAGACCATTTCATCTTTTACTTGCCTAAAGAAACACTTGATATTTTGAGGAGAAATTAGTTATTGATTGTCTCTGTGTGAGAGGGTTCAAAGCCCCAGAAGGTGAAATAAAGGTAAGTACAAGTCTATGATTCAAAGTGAATCCAATCAAACTTGTTTTCACAAAAGTGCCTCACCTGGCCTCACAGTGGTAGGAAAAGTTTTTGCAACTTGGAAATCAGTTTCACCTCCATTATCTAAGTATCCATTCTCTGCTCTGTCTGCCATACATTTCTTATAACTTAATCTCTATAAGAATGTAGTATCACATGAAAACATCAAGCGCCTCTGATTGGCTGAAGACGAGCACATTTTTCATGGAACACAAGTGCAAAGTTTAAATGGCATTCCCTGTGTAAATTTTGTCTGTCTATATTTTCTGTGATGCTTTTTCATGTATGCCATTAAATAGTAATAACATAATTTTTCACTAGTAAATTTTTCAAAGACTACAAATTGCACCTGCCCTACCAGCTCGTGAAATTTTGTGATCATTGAAGAATTCACTTTACCTTCCTCTACCCCCTTAGCCTAGTTAGTACATTCATAATAGTGTAGGGATATCTGGTTTGGCATTGACAAGCTGATAGGAAGATTACTTGAAACTCAGAAAATCGTAAACATTTGAAGTTGTCCTTCAATAGCATGTTGATTAAATGGATGATTTGATTGAAGCCAGATGAGCTACTATATCTCTTTTTTATTTCAAGCTCTTGCCTATCTACAGCATAGTCAAGGAATGACATTGCCAAGGATCACCAAAAACTTGGA